CCTCGCTCTTTTTTGTACAGACCTCGCTGCGCCCGGTCCTTACTGTCAAGACCTCGGGCCGATATTCTCCCAGTACAGCCCTCGCGCTTGGTTCATAAGATATATGTTGTGCCTGCCCCTGGAGACAATTGAAGTGCAGGTTCTACTGTCCTCCAGCCTCTCAGTCAATAACTGATGATGATAAAAAATTGGGCAAAAGTAAACAAAAACAATCCTGTTATTATCATCAATCAATCAGTCATCAATGTTGTCTATAAATGTACAAAGAATATGTACCTTTTTCTTTATGGAGAAGGTATTATAACTTAAAAAATAATTATATGGGGTTTGCTAGATTTAAGTTTTACTTCTATTATGAATTTATTGAATTGTTTGTGATTTGGATTGTAGAAAGTCAGATCACATGGGGTACAGATTGAAGAAGTTAAAATTTTTACAGTAAATATCTGGTGTTAATATGAATTTGCACATAAAATCTACAGTCTATCTTTTTATAAATATGAAACATAAAGAAGATTGTTAAAGATTGTTTTGTTACATACTACAAATGACAGTGTCACTATAACTCAGGACAGTGGACTGAATCAAGTGAACTTAATTTTTTATTATTTTCATTTTATTAGCATTAATTTTGTACTCAGGTATGTGTGTGGTGTGGGCAAAGTGAAGGAATTGACCGAGAGGACTGAAATTGTTATCAGTAGCTTTTTGGGTGCAGGAAACAATTTTCACCGTGAAATTTTATATTGAGTGTAATAAAATTATTTCAAGCCAAGTGTGTTGTTTGGGTTTTGAGGATGAAGCCACTCATGCAGGCTAATATGTGGCAACCCATCACCTAGCTCTCTCCAATCAATATATGGTCAGTTTGCTGTTACTTTTCTATACCTCTGTGCCTAGGGAGGCAGAATCTACAAATATTGTGGTTTCCTGAAAAGCAAGCAAGCATTCTTTAAATGTTGTCTCTCTCATTAGCTTGGTTTTTTCATTTTCAGTGATGCTCTCCTGACTTCATATAATGGCAACAACATACAAAACTGATAGAGAATGAAAGTAAGTGTATTACATGCATGTACTAAATGTGAGAGGGTACTATAGATTGAACAGTTTTCCCAATAGATGCTTACCATCACTCAGACTCCACTTTCTGAGAACGTGGATCAGTCGTTAAGTTATACATAAATGATCTTAAATCGAAGAGTTTCTGATAGTGATGAGGTGACCAGTATTGGTTGGCATGCTGAGAAGTGATCACCACAGAAGGAAAATCGGCATTTTCATTCAAACTGACAGGAATATTTAGCACAGAAATTGTTCATGCTATTCCTATTAAAGTATACTTTTTCATAAAGCTTATAAATAAACACTGATTTCGGATGTTTAATTTACTTTAGTTTACAGTTTTGACCATTTAATAGAATGGAAACTTACTCTACACAATTTATTTCTCACACAGTAAGCACATGGGTACCTAAAAAAGTCAAATTTAAATATAAAAAGTGAAGAATAATGAAAAAGTAACAAGATTAAAGATGGTTGTTTTACAAAAGCACAGTTGCCTCAGTTCATTCAACTGTGCTTGTTTCTTTCTGATGTACATTTTCTAAATAAGGGACTGTTTTTTCCCACATCAAGTGTTGGTGTCCAGAAAAGCGACATGATTTGTTGGTGAAACGAATCTTGATATATTTAGAGAAAAAGTCCAACATCATTAAGTTTCTTAATCAGCATGTTGCGGGAAATGCATTGCACCATGCAGCTGTTGTTAGCAGTGATCAAGGCCTTTCATAATGTCCACCAAGAAGGCACTCCTAACATCCATCAGCAGCTTCATGGTCAGAGAGTTCAAGAAATTGAGGAAAACCATGCAATATGTTAAGATGCATAACTGAATTTGTAGTGGGTAGCGGGGATTTGAATAATTGTGCCTACCTCTGGAAAAATTCTGGCTATGCCCCCGTAGTTCAACATATTCCCTTAGCCTTAACCCTTGAAAATGCAAAAAAGGGAACTTGACCAACATCCAGCTCTCTTGACTGAACAAGCTTGGTCAATATTAATGCAAAAGTATGCATGTACAGTAATCAAAGAGATACAGGCACCCATGAGGGTATGAAGTAATAAATCAACAAAGTCTTCTGCTTGAGATCTGGTAATGATTTCAGGAGAATATTCCACTGTTCAATATAACTGGTCATTTATTGTGAAAATATTGGATCTAGTGACAAAAGGCAGCTTTGCACTTTGTGAGGCAAGATATGCACCAGAAAATCTGTAGGGAGATTTACTTTCTTGATCAATGGACAAAACCCCAAGGTTAGTCAAGTTGAATAGTCCTTTTTGTTGTCCATGCTTGGTTTCAGAACATCATAACTCCCACAAAGATGGTAAGTTCACACATTGTATGAATTTCAAACTGTTCAAGTGCTTTCCTGAATCATCTTCCCGTCAACTTTTCTTGTACATATGCGCGAGAAATCCCAGAAGTCCTCTGTTCCTTTCACTTCTATATGAAGTGAGTCAACAACAACAACTTTATTGGGTACTTCCATAAGTAGTACATGACATTACCTAAGTAAGAATAAGTAACAATAATTATTTAACATCATTATTTTCGTCTTTAACAGAACTCCTTGTCTGATATTCATTATTTGGAATAATTTATTATTAAAAGCAGAAATGAGTCTACATTAATAGACGGATCAGCTTTATTAAAAAGGAACACTTAAGAGTTTTGATCAAAGTTTTCAAAGCAAGGATACCTTCTTGCGATGTTGTTGTTAATTTAGTTCTAATCGAAAACTATCTTACAAAGGACAACAAAAAAGCACATGTTTTTCATCTTCAATTTCATTTGAATGGCAGAAAGAACTCATTCTTTGATTGACTGGGGTCTTTCGAGTTGTGTATCTTCCCGTTTCAATGTGTAATTTATGATTGCATGCCTAGACGGAATTTATTAATGGCAATTTTGTGTTGTGGATTGTTTATTAGATCTAAAAATTATATTTTCTGAGTGTCCTTTTTGAATGAGGAGTAAAAGTCTAATTTTCTGTTTGCGTTAATTGGTGGTCCTCATAGATCTTCCGCTTTAACTTTAAATGAGTAGTTCTCGTATTTGTATCGTTATTGTTCAAGTTCATAGAACTTGGATCACATCTTTTCAATAAGTTATTAATTCTCAGCGTCAAACTTAAGAGGTTTCTGTCAGCCAATTCTTCGGAGAGGAATAAGCATTGTTTTGCAATATCAGTGTCTGGTAAGTTGCGTAGATGAATCCAGAACTTTATTATCGATATCTCTATAGTTAATTTCAGCGGTAGTCTACCTATGTCATTTCTAGCGAGTCAAAGGTTGCAAACAGACCAAATTCCTCTCTTTCAACTTTGGGCTTGCATTGTTTTCGGATGTCAATGGTATAAGTACTGTCGAACAATGATTGGAGTTTTTGTTCAGTTTGCTTAGAGTCAATAATTTTTTTCATGGCTAGGTGAGTAAATGCTGCAGTAATAGTACCGCGTGCACTGTACAACCACTGGCCTTACAGCAAGTTATTACAGCCATTCTTTCTTCTCTGGTCAAGCATCGAGGTACTGCATACGTGATCTGTGCCAGTGAATCACTGAAATTTGGAGGAAACTTTAATAAAAATAGATTTGCCATCTTAGGTTTGCGAATCATAGCGCTTAGCTTACTGCACCCCAGGAACAGCGGAATTAGCAGTCTTTCCAGGATGTTTGGTTTGATTAGTGTCATGCGCTCAAGCAGTGAATGAAACGTCAGATTTTCAATTTTCATAGCTTT